TTCTGAAGGGCTGCACAACTCTCTGAGGCATTGGCGACTTCCCCCAGCTTTGTATCATCTGCAGACTTGCTGAGGAGGCATTTCCCTTTCATCCAAGTCATTGACAAGTTAAACAGTGCTGAACTCAGCACAGAACCCCGGGGCACACCTGTAGTGACAGGCCTCCAACTAAACTCCGTACCACCAATCACAATCTTCTGGAATCTGACTCAGGAATCTGACTCTGGAATCTGGACTCAGCCAGCTCTCAACCCAGCCAAAGTGTCCATTCATCCACCCTATACTTGAGTTTTCTAATAAAGATGCTATGAGAGACAGCCTTACAAAAGTCAGGGCAGACAATATCCACTGCTCTCTCCTCATCTGTCTGGGTAAGTTTTTCATTGTAGTAGGCAATCAGGTTGGTCAAGCATGATTTCCCTTTAGTGAATCCTTGCTGACTTCTCCTGATCATATTTATGTCTTCCATGTTGGTAGACATGGCCTCCAGAATAAAGCGCTCTATCTTCTTTCCAGGGATTGAGGTGACGCTGACTGGATGGTAGACCCCTTTCTTGCTCCTTTTGAAGACTGGAATGATGTTTATTTACTTCAAGTCCTCAGGCACCTCTCCTGATCTCCATGACCTCTCAAAGATCATAATGAGAGGCCTATTTATGATGTCTGCCAGCTGTCTCAGCACTCATGGATGCATCCCGTCATGGCCTGTGGACTTGTGGATGTGAAATTTATTTAGGTGCTCCTTCAGTGAAGGAAGGTCTTCCTTCTGACATTCATACACTCTGGTCTCCTGGCTTAGAGATCCCTGGGGGCTGATATTATTGGTGAAGACAGAAGCAAAGAAGACATTCAATAACTCTGCCTTCTCTGTGTCCTCTGTTACCAGAGTGCCCTCCATTTACTAATAGTTATCCTTTGTTTTCCTTTTGTTATTTATATATTTGAAAAAGCCCTTTTTGCCATCCCTGGTTAGATTAAATACTAGATGGACTTTGGTATTTCCAGACTTCTAGATTCACTGCAGCAGAGAAGGAGGGGTCCCTGCACATACTCCTTGCACTGTACAGTCACAAACATAACTTGTTTACATGCTTCTGTGCCTTGATACATTGCTGAGTTTGGCCTATTAGAAATCTTGGGTTAATGCTTCCCCATCATCACAGCAAACTTCCATTCTGGGTTTACTTAAAAAGAGGAAAAGAAATTAAATTGATTTCAAAATCCCTCTTAATTATTGACACAAGAGGACAAAAAGTTGTCCTCCAGAGTCCTGCAAACTGGTATAAAATGTCAAAGGTAGAGTTCCTCTCCAGTAAGTTATTGTCAGTAAATTTGGTCTGTTCGTTATACACATACATATATAGATCTGTCTTTATATATGCTTTCTCCTTGTGAAAAGCATTCTGGCTACTTAACAGGCATGTGGGATCCTGCATAAATTATGCTGATTCTATATGATTCAAACTATAAAATATAAAATTACATCCCATTTTCAACATGTGAATACAGAGATTATATAGAATGTGAAAGATCAAACTGGAAATTCTTCGTTCTCATCTGTTAGGTTTTTTTTCAACCCCGCAGTCCCATGGGTTACAACTGGGCTGAGTAAGGTCTCACATAAGACCTCACATAAGACATTCTGGCCTTGTTTTAAAACCACATCAAGTCTCTAATCTTGCAGTCTGATCTGTGCAAAGACAGTCATATTATGCCAGTGGGCTGTTTTTCTGGTGTGGGAAGACATTTCATGGATCAAGGCCATAAGTTAACTACCCAAACAAGAACATGACAAAGCTTCACTGCAGCATTTATTCTAATGTTTTTGAGGTTATATTAACTTTTAACTTCAGAGATATGCACTTTCCAAAAGCACTTTCCAAAAAGTGTAATATTCTTGAAGTATTCTTACATCTTTAAGATGACAAACATCACACAAATGTTAGAGAATGGCAGTGTAGCCACTTCTGTAAGTCTGAAGCAGAAAAATAGCAATGCCTGCCGAAAAGGTGGTCCTTCCAGGACACCCATTCCTCCTGCTGAATTTTTGCATATTTCTTTTCCTGGTGTTTTATACTGACATTTCCAATTAGCTTGTGAGCAACATGGGTATGCGTCTTGGTTTGAAAGGACAGGTATCTGCTAAGGAAGGCAGGAATGTCTCTCGAAATGGAAAATGTAAACCCCCTCCATCCAAATTATTATAATTTTGAAATTAAGGGGGGGTTTCAGGCAAAGACATGGGAGTAGGAATAACAGTTATTTATTAGGAAAAATAAAACTGTAGGAAAAATAAAAATATAAAACAACACTGACAGAGTCAAAAATCTGACCTGACACCCTGTGGATCAGGGTGTTGGTAGCAGTCTGATTAAATGGTGGCTGCAGTCCTCCTGGAGTGACAGCTGTGGTTCTGTTGGAGCAGTGATCCTGTAGAAGGGTGTAGTTTTCTTCTGAAGGTCCAGTGGTGGTGTAGGTGGGCCTGGTCTTCTTCTGGGAATCCAGTGTAAAAGAAAGCTGCTCCTCTGGGAATCCAGAGGGAAAAGCCTGCTTGTGGTGTTCCAAATCTCAGATTCTATCCAGGTAGGAATGGTTAACTCCTCCCCCTGGGCAGAGCATCTCCCAATGGGTTGATGTAATTTTATCAGCCATGCAGTGACACTCAATGGCCCATGGACAGAAGATATCTCCCCTGAGGGAGGATGGGTTGTGGAAGAGATAAAGAAACCTGCCCCACCTGGTTTTAACAGGTGGTCCAATTAACAGGAGATAACTGCCCCACCTCTAACACATGGCAATAGAATGCACAGCCCCAGCCGCATCTTGCATTTCCAGCCTAAGACAGATTGAAAGTTCAACCAGCCACCCAAAAAGTTTAACACACCACTAGACAGAAGTGATATTTCTGTGACAGTGAAACAGAGGTACCTGCCTATTTTAGACAGCTTTATAGTGCCCATCTGCTTTCACTGCTATCTATTTCAATATTAATAGTGATCAGAAATATGAGTACTCTCGACAGGGTACTTTTCATAAACTTTCACTGGACTCTGATGGGCATATTCACATCTCTGCAGCACTTCAATGTGTTTTCTTTTTACTGATATATCAGACATTTCACTCCTTTAGTGAATGGCATACAGATAGATGGATGCACCCACTTGAACCATGTTGTATCAGTGTGCAGCCAGGTGTGCATTACCAGTAGAAAAAACTGGGCTTGACATGAATAAAAATGTCCTATCATACTGTATATGAATTGACTTTAATTACTTTATCTGACCATTGTTTTTTCATGGCATGAACACCACTGTAAGATTTGTTGGTTACCAACTGTTAAGCTCATATCATGAAGTTCCTATGCATCCATAGTTTCAGTTTTAAAATATATCTTCCCTGAGTAAAACAAAAAATGGTGAAGGACCCAGAAGAAAAACTTTGCTTTTGGGCTTCAGAGTCTCTTAACTAGTAAAATAACACGGGTGGGCTACATCTACAGCTGCTTGTCAATGTTAGAGTAGGACTGGAATGTCTCAGATCTATGAAGAATTGAATTCTTTCTGCATCTCCGTAGCTCATGAAAAGTCATATTGCTGCCCACAAAGGTGCAAAGGTTGAATAAAATTTCATTTCAGACAGTGTGAATCCAATCCATCACCTGATTTTGGATTGCCATTTTGATAATTACCAGGAGCTGCATAATGGCTTGAAGGGCACCCCAGTAGGATTTCTCCTTGCTGGAGAGGAGAGCTGCAGAGGTTAATCAAAACCAGTACAGCCCTTCTTATCTTTTACTGCTTCTGCTCATCTCCCATTCAGCATCTGTCTAATCTGTGCATATTCAGTACAGTATTCCCTGTCTGTGCACTCAGAATGATCCGAATACAGCTGTCAACATCTCGATCAAGGCACAGCTCTAATTAGCTTTCTCTGTTGTAGTTGAAGGAAACATACTTGGAAAGTTGCTCCGTGCCATATTTCAACTACCAACAGTAGCTGGTTCTGTTGAAACTTCTGTTATGTTTTAAAAAGGATATATTTCTAGTTAATTACAAGCTTTCACTTAAGAAACACTTTTGAAGCATAGGTAAAGACCAAAAGGCTTTGCCCAAAATGTAAAGGCATGAAAGCAAAGATGAGAGAAATTTAAATACTTAAATATAGGAGCTTAAAATGGAAACTGGTGCTCCTCTTTAACCATAGTTATTTTCTGTACTAATCTACCTGTCTCTATGAAACACACAAAGGTGGACTTGTTTTTGCAGCCAGACAAGCAGATGTCTTTAACAAAATAATTATGTTAATAGTAATATAACAACAACAACAACAGCAACAATAATATTGCCAGAAAAATTAATGCAACTGAGTACCAAAAATATGCAAAACAAATAATTGCCAGGATCAGGAACACTGAAATGTAAATATTCAATTAACAATAGCAGAAATGATGTGGGGCATGATATGCAAATGATGAGTGCCTCAGACCAAGCATTCTCAATAGCAAAGCCAATAAGTAATTTGTTAAAAACAACCCACGTGACTGTTTTTCAGCTCATGAGGAAATCCATGTTGAAGATATTTGCTGTTTTAACATCAAAATCAAACATGTTCCATAATGCAAGCATTAAGAAGATGTATAACCCACACAGTATTCACAGCTAGGAAAATGATAAGAAGGTGAGATGCTTGAGGAGAAAAAACTTGCAAACCAGAGGTTTTTACATTGACCACAGCACCCCATGTCCCACATGCTAATTTCTCAAGCAAACCTCTTGCCAACTGAATTTTTTTCTTGAACTGTAAAATTCATGGGATGTGCTTGGCTTGCATCAAGAACACAGTGGTTTATTCCCCACACAAACAGCTCTGTCTAGCTCGGCTAGATATAAACAGAAAGACTTCTTCACTAATTATTTATACAAACATAGCTGCATTCTGGAAGATTCATAGGAACTGGAAATTGGTTTACTTCTGATTTTTACTGGTCTTTTGATTTTCAGGGCTGTCGACTACTGAAAACCATCTAGACCTTCATCCACAGGAAGGTAATCGACAAGTGATTTTTCTCCCTCTGAGAGTACTGATACTGCTTATATAGTAATAATAATCATAAAGTATTTATATAAAGCACAGTCTTTACTTGTACAAAGAATTTGTCTTCCAACCTGTCCAACTTTGAGAGTACTTGCATGAGTAAGGAGTACATCCACCTTGCTGCAGATGTTTGCACTGTGAGAAGAATATTCTTACATGTCCGGAATTGCATTACACTTACGTGTCCTGGCAAAGAGCGGCTTTTTCAAATCAAAATGACTACTTTTATGAGTCAAGTGGAACTTATTCATAAGTGCTTTCAGATTCAAGTCAACTGTTTTTTACATTATGCACCTCCCTCTTTTCTCTTTTCTAACCACTGGTAGACCAAGCAGTTGAAATACTGAAACAAGCTTAGTAAGGGGAGTGAGAGGAAAAATATTTTATTGGTGCTTTGCAGGCTGTCATCCACATCCTCTCACTTGTTCATGAAATGCAGCCACAATAGGGAACATGTGAAAGAAGTTCCCAGCAGTTTAAAGCAAAGCTTCAATGGAAGGGGGTGAGAGAAGAAAGAATAGTGCAGCCAGTGGAAAAAGAACTATAATTTTGGACAGGCAGAATACTGCGGCTCTGCAGCCATCTAGGACTGTAAACCAAACCTTACCCTATTTTAAGAACATTTGAAAGGTTTGTGGGACTGGTTTAGGATCTGAGATTAGCATTCCACTTGTGCAAAGTACCATGGAATTTTAATGAATAGAAGTAGCCAGATTTTCTGCTCTCTTCCTGAGATCTCTGTGTTTGCTAATTTAGAGACACATTTCACATTTCACCATTTCAGTGGTGCATTTGTACTAGCACCATACTGAGGCAATGGTTAAAAAACCTGATGCTGAGAAAAGTGGTATCTGTGAATCTTATGTAGTCCTAGATACACACATAAATGTTTCCACACCTTAGATAATGAGATATTAAAATGCTACAATGAACACAAAGATCTAAGAGGCCAGTCCACAGTCCACTTTGCTGTTGTGAGGAGTTTCTGGATTTAAAATAATGGAAAAAAAAATAAAGATATTATTTAAATTTCTCTTCTAAATGCATGACTATTTTCCTTAGGAAATGACTCTCTAGGACCTGATTATCTCTGCGCTTGTTTTTGTCAAACAGAGTTACTATATTGAAATAACACTTCAGGTCCTTTATGGTGGGTTCTCAAGGGGAGTTAAGTATTTAACTCATTTTGGTAAAACCAAACAGCCATTTTCCCAGGACTCTATCTTAGCTAGTCCTTGTCTTTATTACAGATTTTCTGAATTATTTTTGCCTTTAAAATGTTCGTGTAGAGTTGCAGGGACCCACCAGCAGCAAAAAATGAGAGGAGCTGGATAGGGAACTTCTTGGTATCATAATGACCATCCAAAAACCTTGATCTAGCCTGAGAATCAAGATGCTTGATCCAAATCTAAAATTTTGTGTAAGCCATTTATTTGCCTTTAAGAACATTGTTCAAAAATTTTGTTTTTAGCCTTGAGATAAGGCATTGTGCGATGTGTAGCAGATGGTTTGGGACAAAGTTTTAAGCCTTTTATTGACATTTGCGTAGGAAAAAAATTAGATAGCTGTCTGGATAAAATCTGGTGACACAGTCCTGAAAATCTGGCTGCATTCTTTTTGTTAATCAAAACCATACAGTAGTATGCAATGTGTCTTTTTTATTTCAGTAGCATGAAATATTTTGGATATTAGCTGCTTCTTTAAATGACTATAAATTTCAACAAATACCAAGAAAGACAACAGCTTCAAACAAAAGTGGAAACACCTCACTGCAACACCCAAGGCTTCCCAGAGCATTTCATCCAACATTTCTGGAGGTTAACTGCACTCTCTAGTGCAGTTTCTGGAGCTATAAAAATCTGTCCATTGTCACTTAATGTCACAGGTTAGAGTAAATGCTTAATTTTAATATTTGTGTTTTTGTTGTAATATAAAAGTCACATAAAAATTGTTATAAACTGCTGGAGCACAGTCAAGTTTTGGTAAAAGTCAGGTTAGATGACATATTCTCTTCATATGGGTGTGCACCCATCACTGGAAGCAGCTGCTGGGTCTTGAACAAGGTAAAAGAAGAGGCTGATAGGAGGCAAATCCTGTGAGGGGGTATAGTGATTTTTATTATGTCAATGTCCTCCCTTACATAATGGGTCAGGTGTGAAAACTCCTCTCCAGGAGAGTGCAGGAAGTTCAAACTAACCTGAAGGTATTCATGCCTTTTGATGGACCATAACTGACTCAACTGTGCTGACAGGAGAGGCATCTGTAATATCTTAAACAATCAAAGGCTCTTGAAGTGTTCCATAATCCACATCATTGCATCATTCAGTGTGAAACTTCCCACCCCTGAGGAGGTGCCTGGGCATTCTCACCTGACCATAAGTGAATACAAACACAGTAGATTCTGATGTTTTGTGGGCTCTCCCCACTCCTAACAGATCAAGCCAGTGACCATCATTTTGACCAACAGACATCAAAATGGCAACAACAAAATCTCCTTTCAGCATCCAACAGGTGGCAACTCTATACCTTTCTAGTTTCCTTTTCCCACTTTTTTTCTATTTCTGCCTCACATTTATTGTTAAATAAAAATCCATTCTCTTGACTTTGGCATATGGTCTTGTTTGTAATAACCAGATTTTAACACTATATATCACCTTTTAAGTCAATTACTCTGTTGTTTCTCCTCATGACTCTATCCCCCCCAAACTGTATCAGCTGAGTTTTCATTATTATTTACCAAATAAGAAAAAAGCAAAATGAAAAATCAAGAGCAAAGTTCACATGCAAAGATTATAATCTTCTGCAGAGCTCTCCATATGTGAGCATATTGAAGATAGCATTCTTATTGACATAGGGGTTGCTAATTTTTGTGATGCTTTCTTAGTTAGTAAAGTCAGTAGCAGTAAAGCCTTGGACTTGGTAGCAAGAAGTCAGCATCTGAATCTTTAATTTTGCGGCTATAAACAGCCACATCATGTTTCCAGCAAAAACAATGGTGTTGTTTTCAGCATTGCTCTACCAAGGAAGCATGTTTTTTATTTTCTTCTTGTATATACAATTAAAACCATTCCAATCACAGAACTCTGCTCCGCATTCACTTCTGAAACAGAGCATGAGGGATGTCACTCAAAAGTGAAAATCCTGCCCTTCCTTGGGCCAAATAACGAAAGAAAGCGTAGCAGTGCAGCATTACTCATTGGACTTCTATTAAAATTTAGAATTAGTTGACTAATTACTAATACTTACCCCAGTGTGCAATAAAAAAGGAGACATCTTGTCATAAGCAGTCTTTTTTCCTTCTGTGTGGGAAAGATGGAAGTATTACCTTTGTCCCAGTTTTGGCTAGGACCTGGAGGTTATTCTCTACCACCTCACAGAGTTGCTGGGGCCAGGGGGAAATGACTCTCTGACTTCCAAGAAGGGCACAGTTTCTGATTGAAAAGAAGTGGTAGCATTGTCTGCCATTGTTCATTTCCTTGGAGTCCTTGGTGAGAATTCTTGCGAGTGAATCACCCTCTCTTTTTTACATGCTTTTTTCCCCAATATTTTTGTTTTTACTGCCCTTTTTCTTATCTCATTGCTGTTTGCAATAAACTGTTCTTATCTCAACCAGTGATCTTCACCTCTTGTGCCTCCAACTCCATCTTGCTGGAGCAGGAGTGAGCTGATGACATATGGTTTAGGAGAGTCTTGGTGAGAGCGATGAATTAGGGAGTACAATTCCTAAACCATGACAACCTCTCATCAAGCACATGATAAGGAGCTGCATGCTTGGAGTATAGGCAAGTTCTCTTCTTGCTGTAGAGGATTTCCACCAGTGCCTGTGTTCTTGTTGAGTAATAATGAGATACCATAATGAAACTGTAGAAGATGTATGTCAGATGGTTCTCCAATAACATTAGGAAAAAAAAAACCCAGCTGATATATGGGATATTGAAGGAAGATTAAGTTGTTAATGCATATTAGTATATTCTTAATTTCCTTTTAATTGAAAAAGACATATTGACTTTAATTAAAACCATTTCACAGGAACTGTCAATTAGCACATGTCAAACTAGTTAATTCAGAACAGAGTTCTTTTAATTAGGGTCTGCTTTCCTTTAACTGTGGGGCCAATGAAATCAGCCTTTCCTTATCAAGAATTTACATATCTCAAAGAAATACAATACAAATCTCTAAAAACTCTTATCTATTATTAGAAGCCCATATGGATAACATTAAAATGATGGAGCTGGCATTGTTCATGCCACAGACATCAGAATTTCCTTTATGACTGTTTGAAAAAAAAGAAAAAGAAAAAGGTAGCTTTGAAGAAAGACTATTTTAAATACACAGATTTATCTACATTAAAGAGACTACAAAATTTATGACATAGATGCTCACATTTAAATTATTTAATATGTCTGCTTAAATAAATGGGCCTGCTCAAGTGTGTTGTGTGTTCTGTGAGCCAAAGACACATAAAGCATTTTCAAAGCATGCAGCATGCAGTTCTTCCCTTAAATGAACTATAATCAAAAGGAGAAAAGAGACTAGATTTTTTTTTTGGACAATACCATATTGTTAACTTTCACTGCGTGTGAAGATTTAACAGAGATTGCTAATCCAGGGGCTTTGAACATCAGTGTGCTAATGTCATCTCAGTTATCAAATAGTATATAGTCTCTGTCTTGACTTTCACATAATCTCTGAATATATCTGTAGCTTTCTGATGGGTCTCCACCTCTTGGCTGATGTACTGCTGTAAAGACCTTCTCCATGGTTTCTGGGAACCTCCATGTGCGACATCTGTAATGTCCTTTCAGGAATAAGAACAGCTGAGAAAAATATAACAAATCATAAAAGGAATAATTGCAAAACCTAGACTTAGTCTAATCATACAGGATTTAGCCACTGTTTTACTGACCTCTGTCAACATTGGATTACAGAGATTAGTGAAAGGAATACTTAA